TTTTTTTTTTTTTTTTTTTTTTTTTTTTTCTTTTTTTTTTAACGACACCGAATTTTGATATGCTGCCACATTTTATTATCCGATTCCAATCAATCGTTTCGTACGTGTCTCGAAAGGTATCCGTGCCTCTATTTTTATTCCAAGCATACATATTGCAATCGGTTTCAATAATACAATATCTCCCTCTGTGACGTGTATATTAAACGAGCTCGTTAATAAACACTTTAAAAATGTATATATTTTTCGAACCGGGTTTCGCTTCGACCGGTGATATCGTTCTTACTTCGTATCGAAATTGATGTTAAAGTTAGAAGAATAAGATAAGATTTGTCGCAGGATAGTACATGACAAATATTCGTGTCGCAACTATGGGTATATAGGATACATACGATATACTTACAATAATAACTTGTATTATCTTTGCCCAGGCTCTAGCCTATGGTGTTTTGAATTAACTTTTTCTACGGATTGCTATTGTAAAATAATTGATCGCCTACCGGTATAACTGCCAGTACACTATTATTTGCACATGCATATACATCGGCACCAGTACACAGTTCAGCAAAATCCCCATTCAAAGCGTGCATTAATTACCATTTGTGTGCATAAAGCGGTCGAAACGATTGCAACTGTGGTTGGTCCATTGAAATTGACATTTTTCGAGGCATAAAGATCGGCCGGTATCCTTTTATTATTCACTATGATATAGTAGCAAATGAATTCGCGATAAATTATTAAAAGTGTAGAGATTACACTTTAATTTTCATTACACGTCACGCTTTTATATTAAAATTGCGTGATTATACGTAAAAATTTTTTTTTCAGCTCAAATAAGACAATTACGTACGATTCAATTTTCTAAATTTTCAATTTCCAAACATTTCCAAATTTTGTTCTATTACGTTTCTTTACGTTTCTCGTCGCAAATCTTGTCATCGCTGTATCGTAAATCATACATTATACGATCTGATCAATAAGAAATAAATGTCAATTCCAAGCACTTATATCGTTTCGATTACAAAACTTGTCCAAACTGGCGAAAATAATATTCAGAAATAATATTCAAGTAGGAAATTTTGATCTCAATGATTTCGAAAAATCGGTGAAGGATGAACGAAACAAGTTCATCAAGGAGGAGGATCGAGCTTTATTATTTTCGCCAGATTCTCGTTTCGAGAAACAGATAGGTGAAGATAGAAGCAAACACAGGCTTAGGCGTATAGGTAAGGATAATAGGACACTAACTTGTGGATTGAAGGGTCTTTGCATTCTCAGAGCCTCCGGCAGCCCCCCGGCCTGTGAAAACACGACCAGGGATGGCGGCGGTAGATGATTCGGCACATACGCAGAATTATCCATCTAGAACAGACATGGCCGTGTTCCATTTCTCAATCTTCTTTCGATCTCTCCCTCTCGCGTCCCGATTTTTCGCACGGAACGTGTCGAAAATGATTGTGGATTCGCGGAAAAGTGAACGAACGATGATAAGTAGTGAAACGTGTGTAACAAATCTGGTAAGTACTGTGTTGATACCAAGTCGAAAATCTTAGTAATTAATAGTAATAGTTGTGGATATTTTTAAGTTTAGTGAGTGGGAAAATATGTGGAAATATGTAAGATAATAATAGCAAAAATATATAAAATATTCGAGATAAAATATTTGCAATGACATTCGATAGATGAAACAAGTTTCTATTTAGATTACATTTCTTGCAAAATACACGCGATACTAAGAAACTCGACATGATGAAAAACAGTGCTTATATATTGAATTGTATAAAAAAAAATTGTGAAAATTATTTTGATAATGTGTAATAATAGAGAGATATACGCGTTATACGATTCCTCCAACTTCTTTTATTAAATGGATTTTAAAATTGTTTTAAAATTTTCTTTCATCAATCCGATCCATCATTACAATTTATTAGTTGAAACTATGATAAATGATTGATTTCTTATAAAATAATATAAAAAAAGACTTTTGTATTGAAATTGAGTTTGTATTGAAACGTAGAGTATATTTAAAAAATTTGTAGAAACAGTTCTGAATCGTCCATTCAACTATCCATTATTAAAATCCGATTAATCAAAAATCGAAAAAGAAGGAAAAAAGGATAGACAAAGAGTCGTAATGCAATCGTGGTAATTGTAGATTTTCAAGACAATCGAATACGATATAGTTAATGACTCCACCGTCAAATGACTCCAGTTTCCACTCCTTCTTGTCTTTCAACGAGAGCTATCGAATTTGATCCATGAGTAACTGCATCGATCGCGGTTGTATCAACTTTTCTTTCTCATTAGATCAAATACAGTACATTGAAGAGTGCAAGAAAGTACGCGTCGGGAAACATATCGGAAAGAAGTCGGGAGGAATCGAATATAAACCGTCGCGATGCCTTGCAAGTGTTCACTTTTATTTATCTAACGTAACACTATTTAGCAATTTGCAACATCTACTATATTATCACGCTTAAAATTTGATTGCGAATTACAGCGTTATATTACGCGATAATATTATGATATTTATCACTAAATTTTAACAAAATGATATTATTGAAATGAAAGAGCATACGTATTTGAATTTCAAAATTGATTTTAAAATAAAGAATTACTTTAACGTATTACATTACTTTAACGTAGTTAATAGTTGAAAAGTTATATGTTATTATTTGATCTTTTTTAGTATAGACATCAAACATGAAATATTATATTGATTAATAATGAATAATATACTAAATGTTTTACTTTGAAAAAATTATGATTGTTTATATTTTATAGATCTAAAATTATATAAGATGAAGTACTATGTATTAATTTTTATTTCTAAATGTCGTAACAAAACATTATTAAAAATCATTAAAATTTACAATAAAAAAATTAATAAATCTAAGCAAAATATTAATAAAAAAATTTATAGTAAATTTTAAAATAAATTTAAAAGATATATGTTATAAAATGATTAATTTTTTTAAAAATATTATAAGAACTTTTAAATGTAAAGGACGAACTATATAAAAGTGACCACTTGCAACGCAACAACGTAACAATGCAACAGGCTAACCTTGTTTCGATTATTTTTCATGTATTATAATTGATGAAAAATAAAAAATATATTTATATTCCTAAGGATGTGTCATGTGTATGCGTGTATACGCGTATATATTAATCACCATCCGCGTACATTTTGCTGTACACCAAAGAAGTCACTGCACGAAATACGACCGTTCGAAAACATTCACTCTATTTCCACGGGTCCCATCGTCCTTATCCGTCGCTTAGGAAACGTGTTCTTATCACCAACAGTTCCTTCACACTAATATCCGTATAAATCGATTAAACCGGAATAAAGTCCCGAGCAATCTATTCGAAAAAGGCGCGTTAGGCAGTGAACAACCTAACCTCAACGCGCGGTTGTCACGCGGTTCGACGTTCTTGTATAGCTTCGATAAATTGTAAACTCGTTTGACAACTGTTGTAACGTGTAGTTCGAAACTTGTTAATCACGATATAGTATATTAAAAAACAACAAACGGATAACAATTTGATTAACGAAACGATGTAACGCGGGTGAATTCAAATTCAAACAAGTCATATAATCCCGCCACGATAGGCCACTCTGACCTAACCTCTCGACGAATGATAATACCCGACGAGTACCTCAACTAGTAGCTCGGTCACCCGGGTACGGGTCTCTGGTAATGCACTAAACGTGGTGAGCCAGGTGCAAGAGAGGGGTGATTACAAGAGGAAGGCGCCAGGCCCGTGCGAGCAACCTCGTGGACATGCGAGTGCAGACTGATTGGAGTGTGAGGGTACTTACCCACGAGTCGTGAGAACGGTGGCGGTGGCGGTGGCGGTGGTGGAGGCGAGGTAGAGGCGTGGAGAAACAAACCGGCGGCGGTGCTGGCGTGCGCGCGTGTTTTCCGCCGCCATTACTGGCGCCACTGTAGCACCACTTTCGTAATACGCATGCGCGGCATGCGCACACGTTTGATGCGCAATCGTTGCCGCGATACATTGAGGTTTAATCGTGCGCTGACTGCGCGACTGGTAACATCTTGTATAATTTGTTGCAATGATAATCAAATCTATACGCAAATTTTTTTTATAATTAATTCTTCCTTGAATCTTTTGTGATAAAAGTGAATAGTCCTATATTCTATAATAA